TTACCGCTATTATTTTCAGTTATATATATGTATTTAACATAAACTGGAAGATAATAAAGTCCATATAATGACATAATTGTTATTATTAAAAGATTCCTAGTAAAGTATTATTATGAGCATGAACAATAATAATACGCTTAAGACTAACATGTTATTGATTGATGACAACGAGTTCTCATTGACATAGATATATCATAATTGATACATGATTATATTGTTAGAGAACAATGTATTGGATTGACCCACCATGAGCTTATGTCTTGGATTATTATGTGATTGTTATAACATTGCACATGGTGATGACTATATGTATGATCCTCAGACTTGAGATAATATTATCCCAACATATATTGTTGTATGTTTTGATGTAGTTAAACAAGCTCCATAATTGGTTGCTCTATAAAGACCGATGTTGAATATATCTCAATATATGTAGTGGGTGTATATGATTAAGATAGGATTTGTCCTTCCTATATAATAGGAAATATATCACAGGCCACTTGATTGAGTGAGACTAGAAACGCATGAACATGCTCGAATAAGTTGATATGAGATATCACAAACTATTCCTTAATTAAAGTCTAATCTAGATATCAAGAAACAATAGATGGACTATACAAGTGTGACTATTTCAATACTTGTGTCTATTCTAGATATAAAGGACATAAGGATGTAATACATAAAAGAGTTAATCACCAAGATGATATGTCGAATCATATTTTCTTGTAACTTATGTGACAATGATATATTGCTAGATGTCACTCATTGTATGTAATATTAGAATTGTTCTAATAATTACTGCTAACGTTACAAGAACCTACAGGGTCACACCCTAGGATTGAAACGAGCAAAGATGTACAATTTGTTGTACGTTACTAAAATATATCTAGAGTTAATATATGTATGTTTGCTATACATATGTTTTAATAATCTCAAATATTTAATTCCAATTAATTAAATAAAGATTTAATTAATTTGAAATAATAAAATCCTTAATATGATTAGGGTAACTTGGATATAAAATGATGTATAAGGTCTAGCATCCGTTTAAAAAAACACATAATCTTCAGTCGTTTTTCTCAAAAATAGTTTTGGAAAAAACAAATATTGCTATAAATCGGGTGAACTGAGTATAGGTCGATACGTGATTTAGTGGAGACTTACGATTTGAACCGATCGACACCACCATTAGCCGCTGTTGTCCTTGCTGTTTTTCAAGGAACCCGCGATAAGTATGCGCATCATTTCCTTCTGATTTCGTTTATTGTACTTGGATCATTGGTGAGATCGTCAAATTTTGTTTCTGTTGCGCTATGGGGTGAGCCGACGATCCTAACATTGGTATCAGAGCCACTTGTACGATCCAAATTCGGGTTAAATTCTTGGTTGATGCAATATGTATGAGATGCATGTTATAGTTTTATCATTTTCGACAAATATGCATGATATCATTGTTCGATTCGATAATCGCAACGATCAATATATTAATTTGTTAATATGTTTTTACAATCTGTGTTGCTGCAAGGATTTTACGAAATTCATATGTCAATTGTTGATATGATGATCCGTGTGTGTGCAATAACATATCGCGTTTGGCAATGGAACAATGGTTGTTCCGATGCAGAAAACCTTCAGGATTGAAAATCTCAAAACACGATTCTATTGATAAGTGTTATCAAATCGTGAGGTTTTCTATAGAAATGGAAGTACTGTTTTCAAAAAAAATCACATCGCCCCTAGACCCTGCAAGGGGCTTCGCCCCTTGACCCTTCATCAGCAATACAGATTGTAGGCCCATATTAATATTTTTAACAAAGGCGTAACAACGTGTATATATATGATATGTTTGTTTTGCACGATGTTTGACATGCATGGTTATAACCCTTGTTCAATTTGCAATGGTTGAATTTGAAATACGGCTTGCGAGTCGTGCCTTTCTATAACTCAGTTCTCTTCTCATCTTACTCCCTCGTATGTAAAACGAGTTTCTTTTAAAATTGTAATCCTATGAAGATTCACAAGGAGCATAATAATGGAATGAACTAAAGACGAGAAGATATAAAGAGCAATCTTAGGTTTTAAGTTTTTTTTGTTCTCCCATTGGCTTGGGATGGGCCACCTTAGTCATTGTTTTTGGGCTATAACCATTGCATCTTATTTATTGCTATATATGTTATGTATGCAATGCATCAAATGATAAAATAAGAATGAATATTGATGAGATCAATAAGGGCCTAATATTAAAACGAACAATGATGAGATAATTATGCAAATCCCTCTTTATAATATAATTTAACTTAACAGTCCAATATTTACCCTCGTTAAGGCTTCAATCGATATTGTGTGGGCTTTGCCAAAGCATTGTCACATAAATCTTTATTGGTTAAACGCGAAGAATAAGCAAGTGATATTCACCGGTTGAGATATTGGTAATAACTTAGCTAGGTTATTCTAATAGGATTAGAAACCTAGAGGTTAAGTATTTGGATAAGTCATGAGATAACTTGAACAAGAGTTGTTCACCAAAAGGAGTTACATGAGATGTAACTAGTAAAATGTTACTTACCTAAATAATCACTATCGTAAAAGAAAAGCCAAAGCTGATTTAGGAAATTGATGCATTATGGATCCTCACCCACTAGAAAAATTTTCGTTGAGTTTTTCCGAAATTAAAACATAGAGGCTTTTTTAATTTTGAATAAAATAGTGGGAGTAATTTGTAAATAAAGACCTATTTATAAAATTTAATTCGGTAAATTTACTTACTTTAATATTTCCATTGTTGTAGATTTAATGACAAACAACACTTAATCACTGCGATCACTCCTTGAGAAGGAGAAGCTTAATGGCATAAACTTCCTTGACTGGTTTCGTAATTTGAGAATTGTTCTCAAACAGGAAATGATGAAATATGTCATTGAAGAACATGTTCCTGATGAACCGGCAACTAATGCTTCAAAAGCTGACAAAGACAAATTCAAGAAACATATAGATGATATGTTAGACGTTGGATGTCTAATGCTTGCCACCATGACTCCTAAGCTTCAGAAGCAACATGAGGACATTGTTGCATATGAGATGATTGAAAATCTTAAAGAAATATATGAAGAGCAAACACGTCAAGAGAGATATGAAACATTTAAAGCTCTATTTCAATGCAAAATGGTATTGGGAACTCCTGTAGGAGCTCACATCATCAAGATGATGAGCTACATCCAAACGTTGGAAAAGTTGAGATTTCCTCTCAAAGATGAATTGACTACCGATGTTATCCTGCAATCGTTGCCAGATAGCTTTAGCCAATTTATCCTTAATTTCAACATGAATGAGATTAAAAAGACTTTGCCACGATTACTTGGCATGTTACTGTAAAACCCTCAACCCGTATCCGACTCGAATCTGAATCCGATGTGTCACATTGACTTTTCAAATCATTTGCTTATACAAAATAACTAAAAATCAATTTGACATTTACAATAAAACCAAATAATTTTCATTATATAAAACATATGGTTTTACAAAACCTATCAGATGATACTTAATCCAAATTTTTATTTACATGCCAACTAAAATCAATATTATCAAATACATATGATTCAATTCTTTTCTGATCTGATTCTTGGAAAGGAGAAGCTGACATGTCTTGTATGTCTTCGATCCCTTTTCATCTTCTCGGAACCTACGTGTGAAACACTCACACACTAAGTCATTAACTTAGTTAGGCATAATAAAATGTATACTATAAACTTAATCACTTAACAGTACAAAACATTTCATATGATCATGTCATACCACTCATATAATATTACATATAACCAAATGCAGACATACACATATATTATCATTATCATCATCAATAATCTTATCATATTCCTTATGATCCTTATTATTACTAACATCATTATCATATCATACATATAACCTTATTATCATTAATCCCTTTTTAGCATATTAAATTGTAATTATCATTTATACACAACATATAACACATTTCACAAGAGCACAAATAACATCACACAAGATATATTTATGTTATCTCTTTTATTAGTCCATATATACTCGTGAGAACTAAAGATATGTGAATATAGTGAGGTTGTGCACATGTGCTGTCACCACATCTCGTATAAATTCCCACTTAGTGGCATACGAAATTTATCCCGAAGGACCTCATGTATGTCCCAAATGACCTATGTATATGTCCCGAATGACCTATGTAACCCTCGACTCTTGGCATGCCAACTATACATATAACTCTTATATCTCATAACATGGACATTATCATTATGATATTTCATGTCACTTATTTTACATAAACATATAAACACATGTAATCACGTAGCTTATGTCATATATTCTCGTAGAGTCTCATATCTCATTATCACATATATCACTTTCACATATTTCGTCATATATCTCTTGTCATATATCTCATCTCTTATGCTCATATAACTTATTATCGCATATAACTCATAGTCACATAATCACAGTCATATAATCATTTGCTCATCTCTTATGATCATCTGACTATAAGACGTTGCTTTGTTGAGTCATTCAACTATTAAAAGTTATAAAATGATCATCTGACTATAGAACATTGTTTTGTTGGATCATTCGACTATTAAAAGTTACAAAATAATTATCTGACTATTCATATGTTACAAACTCGTCATTTTTCGTTAAAAAAATTGATGGTAGTCTAAGTTAGACGTTAACATGATGACTAAGATATGATAATTGTTTGAGATTCCGGGATCAAATTTTATCATATTATAGTCAGCATTTTAACATCCAACTTGATTTGCCGTTAATTTTTTTAGCGAAAAAAATAAGTTTGAAACATAAATAGTCGATTGACAATTTTATAACATTTAATAATTGAAAATTTTAACAAAACAAAACCTTGTAATCAAAGAACATGAATCGATATATCATATTTACCAATATCTTCAAAAGTCATATTGCATGAAATAGAAAAGTTTTGAGAGAATGAAGCATGAGACTTGTACCAAATTCAGATTTGCTGTCCCTCACCAAGAATAATGTCATTTAACAGACTTTCATGGTCTCAGAGCAGAGAACCTCAACACACTATTAAATTCATAGCAGCTATTAATGTACAAGGAGGAAGAGAAGAGAAAGGACGATTACGGCCTTTCGACCTTCAAAACCCAAATTCATACCAGAGAGGCATCATTTTCTAAGGCCTACCGTCGAGCATAATATCTTGAAATAAAAAAACTCCAATTCTGGTTTATCGGTGATGCATGCAATCTACTTTGCCAAATGCTGCTCTCATACCTTTGCACCAAGGAATCACTGAAATGAAACAGAGAACGATTAGGGGAGTCGACAAAAGTTCAATGCACACGGTAAATGCTATCCCCAAAAAATACTGGGGAAGTATCGAAGATGATATTCAGCTGTTGGTGTAAAGAATCTTGCTCAAAACTCCATATTCAGCTGTTGGTGTATAGAATCTTGCTCAAAACTCCAGTTTCATGCAAGTTGAACATTTTTCAATCTCCCCTTTGAAAGACACACACAGTTTAATTTAAAGACCGACGGCAAAATTAATCACGAGAAAAAGAAAATAAAAAAGCAGACACTTGATGACAAAGTTAAATAGTTTGAACCAACTATAGATATTAACTCGATAACAAAGCTAAAGAAAGTAATACCTTAAAGGTCCCTAGCATGAAAGAAAACTACATGAGAACCTTGATTGACATTGAAACATCATGCAGCTGGCGCCCTATATTCATTGGTTAAATTACATGATTGAAGATTTTACTCGTAGAATTTACCTCGACTCCTGCTGGGGAGTTTCCGGGCTTTGCTGTGGTTGTGCTCCCCAGGTTAAACTTTGGCCTCTTATCAGCAGGCTTCAAAATTTGAAAGGAGCACATCAAAGTCTCGTCCACACTCATCATGGCTCCAGAGTTATCAAACTCCCCGCAATAGTTGGGTGCTGAAAATATAGTTACTAGTTGTCGGTCGGCAAAGAACTCGTAGCCATCTTCCACAACCTAGAATATATAAAAAATACTATATATATGAGCATAAGTAGGGTAAGCTGACAATCATATCTTCTAAGATTAAAAATAAGGATTATGAAGTATGTATAAAAAGGAGCTGAAACCGTTTACAGAAGAAATGCCAAATGATTGACGACAGATCTAAACTTACAACAGAAGTAATTGGACGTCAGGGCATAAAATAGGTATCATTTTCAGAAAATAACCAATAAAACCAAATGAAATGTGCATTAGCTCCTATACATTTTTGTAAAACCTGAATGTAAAACATAAATTGAGCAGCTAGAAGACGTAAAACCTGATGGGCGCGGCAAATGAGATCCAGATCATGTTTCTCGAGAAACTCTGATACTTTGTCAGCCCCAAAAGTATATGAAACACCCCTGTCGTTCATTCCCCAACCTTGAACATCTTTACTTGGATCTGACCAGAGAAGATCACAGAGCAAACCTGTGTCAGGAACATCAGTTGGGCGTTGTAAACTTCGTATCTGATCCAAATTATTGAGATCAGGAGAAAGGCCTCCATGCATACACAGGATCTTCTCATCAATCAGCGCTGCCACAGGTAGGCAGTTAAAACATTCGGTGAATGTTTTCCATAGCCTAACATTAAATCTTCTCTTACACTCATCATAGAACCCATATATGCGGTTTATAGAAGCACATTCATGGTTTCCCCGCAAGAGGAAAAAGTTTTCAGGATATTTTATCTTGTAAGCAAGAAGAAGACATATGGTCTCCAGACTTTGCTTGCCTCGATCAACATAGTCCCCCAAAAATAAGTAGTTGGAATTTGGAGGCAATCCGCCGTACTCAAAAAGCCTTAGAAGATCAGAATATTGACCATGAACATCACCTGAATGCCATAAACAGATTTCACAAAGGAAAGAAATTCAGAACTATTCCCAACTCAAAGGAAACAGTTACTTGGAGAAAATATAATATAAATTACAACTACTATCATGAAAATGATTTCCTCAAAATCATACCTTATAGAACAATAACATTAGTAGTATAAGTGCCGCATATAAATCAATTTGAAGTATGGGGCAAATAGTTCAACAGAATTTTCAAAGAGGAAATTCTTTTCATATACGCGAAACACTAAAAAATCCCAATTCGACTATAAAAAACTGGAGCGGATCATTGAGGGGAGAGGAAAAACTAGCATGCCACACTTGCAAATCATACTAATTAAACAAAGAAAATGTGGTGGATAATCAATATATCCCAATGAAAAATACAGACTTTATAACATTCAACGATACGAAATTAGCCGAAAAACAATTAAGCAATTCAAATCATAGTCTTAAGCCTTAGCAATAAAAGAAATCAGGAAAAAGATTCAAGTCACACGACTAGGTGCAAAATAGCATACAACGTGTCCCCCATGCTCAAAAAAATCATTCCAAGTGCAAAAGTCAACAGGATACAACTTTGCAATCCAAAGCATAAAGAACTATTATTTTGAATTAAGCAGTTTGGTGTAAACTCATATTACAAATTTGTTCAATGGAACAAACTGAAAACCTAAAGTTTCCAACCGGCATAACATTTTCCACTGCATCGTTAAAAACGAACAGAATCTTCTCAGAATTAAGGAACCAAAACCACTGCAAAACAAGGTTACCAATCTGAATAAAAGGCCAATTTTATGAAATGGACACAAAACACTCCACAATAAGAACTAAAGCCACGCAGCAAAGAAACATCATTTGATCAGCCCATCAGAAACTAAGTTAGCTATAACTAACAAGTAATAACCCAATAACCATCCAAAACTACACAAATAAACCTCTTAGAGCATACAATACCAGGGTTTAACAGTAAAAGTGGGACTTATTTGGCAACCCTGCAGGGATACCTTTACTAAATTCCAAGTTAAAGCATTTATAACATAAATTAAAATAAAAATTTAACACCCAAAAAAAGGGGAGGAACCATTAAGCATAAATAAAGTGCCAATCTTGAAATGAAACTGCAGTTCTAACAAAATTGACCTGAAAGTCCCAAAATTCAACTTCAGATAATTAAACAAAGACAGAATAAATATATGGGTCATCAAAGAACAAAACAATAAAACTTGGGTATGTAAAGAATAAGTGAACAATACCACAAATCTTGATGGGTGCTTCAATTTCCAATAAGTTAGGTTGTTGCATGAAAATATCTTTAGAAACCACGCAAAGTTGCCGGATCTCCGATTCCGATAGCTGCACTTGTTTCCCTGGTTTTCCACGAACTTCCAAAAGCCGATTAATGATATCATCAAGTACCCCTTGCTCCATTTTCAACTGACTTCTTTCTAAAAGGGTAAAAAACTGAGTTATGGGGTTTAAACAAAACGAAGAGAGAAAAGTCAATGCCTATTTTTCTTCTCTCTTATGGGATGTGAAGGTGGAAGAGGGAAGAGGACGAAGAAGGAGAAGTGTTCGCCGCCGGTGAAGAGGAAAGTCGCTTCGAGGAGGAGAAGGGTGTCGTTTTCTAGAGAAATCGAGTCGTTTCTTTTTGTTTCAGTGGAGGGCTTTGGTTGAAGAGGTAAAGGCAAAAAAGCAAAAGAGACGTGGGGAAATTTCTTTGGAGAGAATTGGAGAATACTATGTTAGAATGACTGTAATCGGCTTTGATATTGGTTTACGTCGGCCATGGAAGCAAACAAAGAAAAGGTAAAGAGACAAGTTTTGGTAAATTTCGGTTTTTAGGATAAATTACAAGAGCAGTTCCTTATATTTTGATCCATTCAATTTAGTCACTAATTTAAAAAAATGATTTTGATCTATTACAATATCCATCTGTTCGATTTTAATCCTCAATTCAATAATAAAAATTTATTATTGAATTTGACGATTAAAAATAAAAAAAAATCATATTTTTCTTCAATAAGAACCTATATTAGCTCTCACTGAGTGACGGAAATAACAAATTTAGATCAACATTAAATAAAAATCATTGAACCAAAAACAACATATGACCATATAAGAGTAACAAAAGAGGCATGGAATCGTTCTTTTTTTTTAATCGATGAGTAAAAGAAGAAGAAAACATGTGATTTTTATTTTATTTTTTAATTGTTAACTCAAACTTGTAATGAATTAATGAAAATTAGTAATTGATGAACGAAAATTAGGGTTGAGCAACGAAACCGAGAAAATTGAAAAATCGATACGAACTGAGTAAAACGATTTGGTTCGGTTCAGGTTTATCTTTAAACAGTTTGGTTTCGGGTTGATTTAAAGAATTAATTCTATTAATTCGGTTCGGTTCGGATTTTCCATATGGAGCCCACTTGTTCCATATTGAACCAAAATAGACAATTTTTGTTTTGAATTTATAGTTTCAAGTGATTTTTTCATTGAAAAACTGACGAACCGAACCGAACCGAAAAATCGGTTTCACATAATTCAGTTTTTTAACCATTCGGTTTCAGTTTAAATTTTAAAAATCGTTTATTTCGGTTCGGTTCAATTTTTAGTAAAAAAATCTAATCGAACGGAATACACCCCTAACTAAAACTAAACATATCAATAACGTAGGGATTAAAATCATTCTTTTTTTAAATCGACGGTCTAATTAAATAGACTAAAAACATGAGAAACCACTATGTAGTTGATCTATTTTTCTATTCAAACAACAAAAACTTTTGTATTTTATGATATTAAGATCCAAATATTTCATAAGACAACAATTGCCTTTTTTTATCGTACTAATTCAAGTCTGATTAAATTTTAAGAAATATCTTTTTTAAATTTTAAAATAGTCTCGATCCTTGCTACTATAACAAATATTTCATAATAGTCTATCTATTGTATTTGTTTGCACCTTTCAAAAACTAGTCTTCTGCATTTTTCTACTTTTGCTTTTTTGTTGGTCTTCATCCTATACACCCACTTGACTCCAATTGAGTTGTGATCTTCTAGTCGACTTGTTAGTTTCCAAGTATCATTTTTTCTATTGTTGCAATTTCTTCGCCCATTGCATTCTTTCACTTGTCATCTTTAACTGCTTTTTCATATGTGGATCATTGTTTGCAAGTAAGAAAAGTAAAATATTTTTGTATTTCATAATCATTGTACCTTTCTGATATTCTTCTATCTTTTATAGATCTTTAAACTTTTGTGGGAGGTACTTCGAATCGTTCTATTATGTTGCTACCAATATTGTTGTTTGATGACGATGTAATTGAATTTTTTGAGTACCTAGATCATAATCTTCTTCATCTTGATTAATAAAATCATCATCATCTTTTTCTTTATAAAAATAGTCCTTGAACTTTCTTTTCTTTTTTGTTCCATCTCTAGTATTCTGTTTCATCGAACTCGGCCTATCTTGAAATTATTTTCTTCTTTGTGAGAGGATTATATAGCCTGTAAGCTTTGCTTCTTTCATCATGCCCGATGAAAATACAATATTGTCTGTCATCAAGCTTTTTCCTGGTCTGGTTAGGAATGTGGGCATATGCAATGCACCCGAAAATATTGAGGTCTCAAACTCCTAGTTTTTGGCCACTCCACGCTTCATTTGGAATCATATACTCACACTTTTGGTTGGACTTCGATTTAATAAGTAAACTGCAAAACAAACAGTTTCAACTTAGAAATTTCTTGGTAGGTGCTTATGTCACGCCCCTAGAGACTCTAACTCGGAACGTGTGGTTGTCTCGCCCTTGGACCTCCGAAACATGTGGCCTTAGGCACTCTTTGAAGACATTCGTTGGTTCTACATCTAAGTAAGCCTTACACCATGCCTTATAAGACCATAAAGTTAACAAAGGTTTACACCAAACCCTCAAGGCTTCAAAAGGATGCAGAAGCTTTAACACAATGTGGCCATTCAAGCAACCAAAGTTGAACACTCGTGTTGAAGTGTAAACACCACGGGAGCTACTCTTAGCCACCTAGGGATGATGTAAACAGAAAGAGAACTTAACTACTTAGAACAATTGAAAGGGATAAGAGAGTTTTAGAGTAAATGCCTTAGAGCTTTATTACTCTCTCAAATGAGAAAGGAAGAATGAGATGATTGAATGATTACAAATGAGGAGGGGATGCTCTCTATGTATACTTGAGCTCTCTCACAATCAATGGCTAGGATCAATTTACATCAATGGCTAAGATCGATCCTATTTAATACAAAATCACCTAATCTAAGGAAACTCAATACCATCTTATCTAATCACATCAATTAGTAGGATTCTTTCCTTTTATAGATGTTCACACTGGATATGGTAAAAATCCTCCAAAATCTCCATTGATTTGTTATCTCTTCCTATATTTTCCGAGCTCATGTGATCATCTTCTGATATGATGCCACTTTCCATATTTGCATAACCAATGTGAATGGACTCTCTAGCATTCTCCAAGTGATGGGCCAAGTTTGGTTGTCTTGGCAAGCCCGATTCTCCAAATCCAACCTCTTTGGCGGACTTATACGCCAATGTCTCAGACCCAAATATATGACCTGTGACACTCTCCCCCATTGGACTTAGCGACGCCCTCGTTATTGCACTAGAACGATTTTGGGCTCCTTTACTTTAGATACTTCCCAAAATATTGGCTCCTCGTGGTTACAAAACCACCTAAGCGGCTGACCATTTTTTAAAACATTTGACCAATATAACATCCAAACATAATATAAAACCCAAATATAATACGGTTACAAAATATAAGTATTTAAATATGGGGAAGCTACCAACAATAGTCTCCAAAAATACACAAGTGTAAAATATAGTTTACAAATCAAATAAGTAATTGGGGTCTATGATAGTACATGCTCTCTACAATACTCGAGACGTACTCTACTAAAGGATCGAGTCTAGAAGTCTTGAATCTAGCGATAAGGTCCTCAACTGGCACCCAATAACCTACGCACAAAAACACATTCCAAACGCTGAGCTCAGAAGCTCAGTGATAGACAAATAACCCTATTATACTACATGTATCCAACATATAAGCATGTTACAAGTATGGTTATAAACATTTGCATACACTAACACAACAAAAAAATAAGCATCATAGTGTAGCTCGAGGCCACTCAACGTCACGAAACTTAAACCCTTATTTGCTTACTAAAGAACCTTAGGTGACACATGGGTCACATAACATCAACATCTCCGTATACCTTGAGTTAAGGTTGGGTTGCGTAGCATTGGTACCTCGCCCCACTAGTCTACTCTTCTAGAGTACTCGAGATGTACTCGGGTCACTTAACATTGGTACAACATCCAACTAGAATTTAAAGTGCACAAGAACTGGATTGGGTATATCCGGATAATCTTTATTCTACCACGCAATTGTCATACAAGTGACTCGGGTGTCCTTGTTGTTTCCCGAGCATCACATAAATATTAAGTTTTCATTTGCAAACTTATTAAAAGTTTCCCTCACCAAACCATTTAGTTTCGTCTTTCTAATCCAAGCTAGGTTCATAGGCTAAATATTCACGATGATATTGATACTTCTCCTCGAGTATTGGTACTACCTCTTATGGTATCGATACTACCCAGAGTATCCGTATCGAAATTACGTTTGATGTTTTGGAAATTACCTCAGTGTCGATACACTTCCTGAGAGTATCGATACCCTACCCTCAGTATCGATACTTCATTGAGTACTGATACCAAAATTGCATTCGATGTTTAAAAGAATACTCCTTGAGGGGGTATCGATACTCTCCTCACAAACCATTTGAATTTTTCCTACTCACAACGAGCAGTATTGGTATTGTTCTTACAGTACCGATACCGTATACCAGAAAGTTTTGTTTAACTCATCTAAAACTTTCTAAAACACTCTTAAAGTGTCCCCAAGGCCCCCAATTGGTGTTTAAAGATTATTTAAAGTTTAAAGAAAATGAAAGGTCATTACTTTACACATGAATAACAACAACTCCCCGTTTTCATGCTTTAAACCCCAAGTGCACCCAAATGGCTCATACACACATACAAGCATCAAACTACACATGTTTATCTAAAAGCAATAAGGAAAGGATAAAAATGTGTTACCTTATGCTTAGGAGTTGTAAGAAAAACCTTAAGCTCACTCAAGCACCACTTTCTTTTTTCTCTTGTTTTTAGAGCCTTCACCAACTTCCCTCACTATAACAAAAAAAAATGAATAAGTTATTAACTCATCTAGGAGTTTAAGAAAGGTAAGAACGAGATTCCTAAAGCTTGGGAATGATTTAGAGCCTTCCACAAGCCCTAAACACAATACCCTTCTTAAACCCAACCATGGACACCATGGCCAAACTCTAAGGTTGTGAGCTCAAATTGTAGTTTTAAGGAAGAGGATTTCAAAACCTACATTCATCAATTCGATCTAGGAAGAATGAACAATAAAATTGTCTCCTTTTCTAGCTTCCACTTAAGAGAAAATGAAGAAGAAGAATGATGGAAAGAAGAAAAAGAAGGATGAAGAAAAAAAGGGAGCATGACACACATACATCATCAATTTTAATGAGAAATCATCTTTCAAAAAGTTCAAGAGTTATTTTCTCCTGTGTTGCTCCCTTTTTTACCTTCAATTCAAAGATACACTTTTCTAAAACTTAATGGGCTCAACCCAAGTCCAACTCACTTCATAATTGGACATGAGTTTCTCAAAAGCTTATTGGGTTTATTTAATTCTCT